GAATCCGTCCTTCTTCCTCGTTTCTTACCACCCCGGGACTTCTAACCTCAAGAGAAGAGCTGACCTCTAACAGCCCAAATATCTGAAGACTACGAACGGATGTGGTGCGCCTATCCGAAGACTGTGTCGACATGACTAGTATCTTAGACTGGTTGCCAAGCCTGACAATACCAGTTCCTGACAAGGACCCTGAAATGTAACGTACATCTTGGAGACACTCGAGGTAACCGTCTACAGTTAGAGTCCCTCCATGTATCCTAACTGCTCCACGAGTGGTGACACGGTTATCCGTGGGGACCTGGAGCGTTCCACTTGTAATGGATATAGGGGAGTGCACTTCGCCTCCATCTAGAGAGAGGATACCCCCAGAAACGTACAAATCTCCTGGTCCAGATATGCTTGCACCTGTTGCGGTCAGTGTCCCACCTGTCACTTCGAATCTTCCATCGTTGAAAAGCTCGGTGCTGCCAGAAAGTCGACCGCCAGAAGCTATGCGAATTCGGCCATGTTTGATTGATAACTTTCCAAGCATTTGAAACTGGACGGCGAGTTCAACGGTTGTAGCTTTTGAGTACTCTCCGATGGTTAGATCCCCCATGTTTGTGAGCCGACCGGGTGGGTTATACTGTGTTCTCATGTAACCGTGGTGCATTGACGCAGTACTGTCTGTATTTAGTTGTATTATAGCTCCACGGGACATGTACAAATTCCCTCCCGAAATCATTGTAAACTGTCCGTTGACGCGGATAACGGTGTCATACTCTTCATACTTACTGCTCGATCCAAAGACATGTAGGCGCTCATCTACCTGTATTGTCATGGCGGTAGTCCCGTCGTTTGCCCAGACTCTGCCAGCACCCCATCCCATACGCCTCGCGACAATTTTTGGCCGCGCGCTACTACTAAATACGTCTCCTGAAGTTATCAATAACTCTGTAACATTTACAGACCTTCCGGGTCTAAGGCGCCCCCCGCATATCTGTAAGGTTTTTATCTTTGCGCTCCTGTGAATCCACAGTGTCCCAGAACAGATTTCTGCAGTGTGTATGGATACGTCCTTCGCTGTTGTCTCCAATGTTCCAGAACTTGTCATTTTTATGTTGCTGATTCTTACGCTTCTGTCCGCACTGTAGACTTTAACTTGGGCTGAGGCAATGGATATAGTCCCACCTACGTTGAGGATTGATCGGTTTGCAAACGTGAATTCTCCATAGTCCATCTCTAAGATTGCTTGCTCTTTGAGCGTTAGGTTGCCATGAAAAAGTCGACATTATATCTCTGTTATTGTCACCAACTTTCATCTTCCCGCTCTCTACTACAACTACTCCCGGGCTGTCGAAGTTCACATCTACAACCAGTCCATATTGATTTAATCCAGCCTGGACGTTAATGAGTCCAGCATTCAGGAAATAATTCTGACTTGTGCCTGAAAATCGTAGACTCTCATGTACTGCCATTGAACCCTGTAATTCAAACCTGGCATCCCCTTGCATGACCAATGTCTGTGGATTTGTTGAAGTAACGGTTCCTGTTGCGACTATCGTCCCAGAGCGCAAATATTTGGTAGAGGAAGAAGTCAGGTAAAGATTCCCATCTACTTGTACCTGGTTTGACATCAGACTTCCTCCACTCCACACCATCTCCTCTGTGATGATAACCAGTCCAGTCACTTCCATGTTGCCCTGGTGGTTTAAGTTAAACTTTCTGACCCTAAACTGGCCGGAAATCTGGACATTACCATTTACATTTAAGGTCTCAACTGTTATGTTACTGTTTGGGTTTAGAACGAGAGTTCCACTCGTAATGGTAATGTGCTGCCAAATGTTCCCATTTTCAACTATCTCAAGTCGACTGTTGCCTGCGATGCTTACACCAGAAATGTCGATGCTACAGTCAATTCCTAACTGTATCAGTCCACTGTTAAAATGTATCAACGCATCTTTAGCCACAACAAATGTACCGCTGTTACACTCAGTGGATGGTATTGACAGTGTACCATGTAAGACTTCAATGTTCCCGTAATTGACAACTGAAATTCCTGACGTCACAGTCATTGTCTTGTCTCTATGTAGCAGTCGTAGCTGGCCGCCGATTACTAACTGGGGAGTTCCACTTCCTTCCTTCTGAAAACGCAAATTACTGTACGTGGAAAACGATCCGTTAATGTCGATCTTAGAGCCATCTGACATCAAAATTGTGGAGTCCGCTTCGGCCACTGCTGTTGCTGTTATTGACATGTTAGTGGCGATTAGCCTTTTGTAACCCCTGTCTTGTTTTATATCTAAGTGGCCAATCACGTGGAAGTAGGCTGGTATGTTAATGATTCCTGAATACCAGATCATGTTAGATGCTACAACTCCACATCCGTGTCCAAAGTGACCAGTGCGATACTGTCTGAGCGTCAGTTTCCCAATGGACACACTTGTTCCGATTTTACAGGTTAATAATACATTGTAGTTCCAGTCTGCGAGAAAGTTCACTTCCGTAATATATGGTGGATCACACGAATTCGCTATGATTTCAATTGATCCGCCAGATATTGACATTCGTTGTACAAGTTTTCGAGCCTGTGTGAAGTCTACGTAGCACTTGCCTCTGGTTACCACCAACCCTATATCTTTGCCAGGATTTTCCATAGAATCATCTTTGCCACCAAGGTATACCACTGGGTCACCGCTGTCCACATACATAGTTCCAGAACCAACGATTTCCCCTGCGTTTGTCAGGTTGTATATTTTACTTGACCTGAAGTACAACTTTGCAGTTGGCATCATGTGGATTTTTCCATGACTGCTTGCACCATTGTTTAGTACAAGTCTGTTCGTCAATTGAAGGTGTCCATAGTTAACAAATCGTACCCTAATGTCTAGCCACTGGTCATCTGTACTGTCAATGAGAAACGTCCCCTCGTTACGGATATCCCCTTCTCCGTATATGGTGAAGCGTGTAACTGCCACCAGGGTTGCTGAATGAAGTATTGTGACGAAGCTGTCGATTGTTACTTGGCGAGTCCAACTTGTGTAACTTTTTGAAATGAGCAGCTTTTCAGTTACGGTGACGTTTGCAACACGCACAAAGCTGTCTCGATAAGTGTCGTGCAGAGTGATTTTACGTGTCGACACCTGCGCATCATTTCCGGATATCTCTCCTGGAATAAAAAGAAAGAAAAACACATTATTGAAAGTGATACTATACATTTTATCTATTTTTTACACCTCGCGCCACAAACTTTTCACACTATCGAAAATTCTTTTCAACTATTGTTTCAACTGCAAAGAATGGAACACAAAAAAATAAGCTTGGTGTCACCTGATAAATTAGATATTAGCCAATAGTAGACATCCATGCACCTTTACAACTTAATAGTCTAAGTATATTTTGGGAACATTATTTGCTACTACAACAACAGAAATATTACTGAAGCATTAGTATGGTGTTTTGGACAGACAATGCCAAAATGAATGTGAATTGTTCTAACCTGTGGTCAAAAATATCTCATCAGTTGTCAGTTGGCTGAAGCCGACTTGGATACTTCCTCTTCTCAACTCCAAGAGGTTGACACTTCCAACATCACTCCTGCTGAACAACAGCAGACGTCCTCCTTGGGAGTCGACTTTGACTTTAGATAGCCGCAGGTCATTGGTTGACACGTTTAAGACGGTGTTGTCATCTAGGAGGTTGAGAGTGGATGAGTATTCATGCATAGCGTCGCTGAGAATGTGATGCTGCGAACCGCCCCTAAAGTTGACAGCAGCGTTTTTACCAATGGTAACGTTCCCTTGAAGAATGCTTTGGCCATACAGATGAAGGTTTTTATTGGCTGTTGTGTACATGGTACCGTTCTGGACAAACGTATTGTAGATTGATGTTGGGTCGTCATGGAATCTGAGCACGCCATTGTTGGTGAAGGACGTTGGAAGTGATCCAGAATGCAGCCAGTTACAACCACCTACTTCCGCTAGACCGGATTCTTCAACTGTAAGAGTGCTGCCATCGGCCAAGTAGACGCCGTAGTTACGATTGTCTCGACAAGTGTGCGAAAGAGTCCCACTAATAGACACATCCACATTTTGAAAGTAGAAGTGTCGATAGTAATGCTGCAAGTTCATCTGACCTTCAATATACAAGGTGGGTTTAGTTCCTCCCTCGTCAACTGTTCCTACGATTTGATGTTGACCGTCATTTAAAGTCACAGAATCTAAAACCTTGTAGGCATGTTTTGGTGAATCGAGACGTATAGTTGCTCCAGGACTAGAGTTTTCTTGCAGCACAATGACCGAAACAGTGGTTGGTGATGCCAAAATTACGTTTCCACTGTACCTTCCCTCGATTTTCCCAACGTTTAGCCCTGTTGCATCGCCGGTATGTAGTGTAATCTGACTATTTCTCACATAGACAGTTCCAATAGTTTTCAGGTTTGTTGTGTTAGTGAATTGTACGAGGCCACCACTACAGTGTATGTTATTTATGTATGCTATCTTCTGTGAAGATACGACGACGTCACCATCTGCAACCGACAGACTTCCATATATGTCTACTCCCACCAATGCACCTATGCTGACGTCCTTCTGATTGCCTGCCAAATGGAGAGTCCCAGAACTGCCGACCCAGATTTTGCCACTTTCAAATTTTGAATTTCCTGACAAGTCAACCCGACCATCCACTGCTACACTTCCTCTACTTGCGAGGTCCGTAGATATCACCAAGCTACCAATGACATCCACATACCCATTGTTCGTGGTTCTACATGTTCCATCTGAACACCGTAAAGATAGGGTTGTACTGAGAGGCACATGGATCTCTCCTGAAGAAGTCACCTCAAAACTTGCATTTCTGCTCATAGTCAGCGTAGCTTGGCTTCCTTGGACTAAAGCACGGCCCTGCAGCAAAATCGTTGATTCTGCCATTGCCTTCCTGTGGGAGTAATACCTGTCATCGTCAAATGCCATTTCTTTGGTAACTAAAATACTCTTCATGCCTTCGATGTTTCCTTCCCACCATCTGAAAGTATTAATCTGGTAATCTCCATTGCCCAGCAAAGTGCCCTTTTCTAGGTAAACGTTTTCTACTTGAAGTTCCTTGTCAGATTGAAGAGTTGCACTGTTCTTGAGGTGGAGACTTCGGATCGTGTTGCCTGTGGTATTGATAGTTGTTGTCCCTCCTTCCAGTGTAAGGGATGATGGCACCGTACTTCCAATGGAAAATACATGAGAACCAGATTTTAACAACACCTCGCTGCCCTCATCAACACTGTTTTGTCCTAAGAATTCTACATTTCCACCTATCTGCAGTCTAGACTGCTGCAACACAAGATGGCCACTCTGCACCATGTTTGAATTGATGTTTGCAGTGGGTGTGGTCGAATAGATGAGCCCTTCATTATAGATGGTGCCGCCATTGATTACTCCATTGCTTTTGATAAGGATTTCGCCGGCATTTGTGATGTTAACCCGAGGGCTCATTGTGAGGGAAATACTAGTGGTTTGCAGGGTGATCCTTCCGTAGTTTTCCAATGGGACTTGAAGGTTCTTATGGCAGTAATAACAGCCTTGATGTATGGTTAACTGTCCTATTACGTTTATCCTTCCGTCGCCACGAATGGTGCCCTGTCTCCACTCCATCCTTCCATCCACATTTAAACTGCTTCCAATGACCAGATTGCCGCCTCCTAGAATGAGCCGTGCATTTCTGCGAACGAGTAGACGGCCCACTTGCAAATCCCTCTGCACCGTGAGTGTCTGCATTGTGTCGCAACCTTGACTGAAAGTATGGTCGCACTGGCTGCCAATTTCTAACGCTTGCAGGCTGATTGCATTCGTTATTCTTACCTCGTAGTCTTCAGAGAGGCTGGTTAGGAAAGCATCGCTGCCTTCTCCTGGGGTTGTATCGTTGAACCAGTTTGATGCAGCGTGCCATTCGCCTCCTGCAGAGTTGGTCCAGAACGCAGCAGCCGAGGGACATTGCTCGTGCTGTACACACATGTCCGAGGCCAGACACCATGTACAGTTCTGTTGGCTGCTGCATGTCTCTGTCGTTCCGAAGTTGCTGCATGCCAATTCTACACAAATGTAAGCATTTTCTTAAAAAAAGAACTTATCATTTATTATTAAGAAGATAAGATACGAAAACGCCACATTAGAACGCTGAAATTTAAAAATAAAAGAACACCTCATAACTTTGCAATAAAGGCTTTTTCTGATCTAGCTGACGTGCTTTTTTCCATACTGTTGATTTAATTACTCAAGCGTGTATCTGTAGAAAATAAAATGTAGTATATTTGAAATCACACACTTTTCAACTAATTTTCTTAACGAACAATCCTCAAGGTTTTAAGAATTATGATATATGATCGACATAGGTTATGACAAAATTTGGAAAATTATTAGAAACATTTGGTTGCAAAATGCACTATAATTCACCATAATTAGTATTTCAATATTTAGTATATAAATTTTCTCATAACAGAGACTTAAAGCTGTTGATTTATGGGAGTCAGTTGTCAAATGCAAAGACATATGCAATGAAAAATTCACAGTAATATTACACGGATTAAAAACTCACTCTGCCTGCAATGTCGTGCTGAACACGTAGAGGGACCTGCAATAGTATCATGGACACAAAGGTTTGCTGTTGGGTACCAGGAACAGTCTCCTCCTCCTTGGCAGCTGGTGCAGTCAGTGTGAACTCCGCAGGAATTGGCTAAACAATAACAAATTTAATACAGTTATTATGCAAACCATTCTTTACTACACAATTATAAAACCAAGTGGCAAATACAAGTGGCATTTATATTGTATGTTTTATCTTTTTGTTTTCTCTTTATTGAAGATTTGTAAAGGCCTAATTGCTAATCTTACTTGGCTCAAAATATACAAAGCATGCATAGAACATATTACATGGTAACAAATGCGCAATGATGCGAAATAAAATTTACATTTAAATTCTAAAATGGTAGAGTTAAGGTGTGTGAGATGTATTGTGGTCTCAGTTTATAATTTTTAAATTATAAACTGAGACCACAATACATCTCACACACCTTAACTCTACCAAAAGGTCACTGGCATGTAGACAAAGAATATTCAATGGCCTTATACTTTTACCTTTAACTTAGCTTACAACGCATGTTGTCAACTTACAATGTATGCGTACTTGTAACTGTTGAATAGCTCAAAGTGGTAGGTATATGACTTGCCCATATCTTTAAGGTATAGCCAATACCATGGACTCAGTTTTACCTGGAGATATAGTAAATGTGCCTCCTTGATTTTCCAGATCGCCATCGGAGATAGCCTGGATGAAATCTCCGTTGACTGTGAGAGAGGACCCTGCTGACAAATGGATCGTCCCAGACTGCCACTTGACTGGACCGTTCACTGTCATGTCGCCCTTAACAGACAGAGTTCCTGTCTTCATGTCTAATGCTCCTGTGGTGTTTAAAAGTATGTGTTGAATACCGTTTGGAATGAAAGCTAGGTAATGTTTTCTTGAATGTGTGTGAAGTACCTTCCTTCAGTTTTTTGAAAGACTTAGTAGTTGTCAGCTTTAATGTATTACAGTTGTTCACTGACAACTAGTTTTGGCCTGGCCGTGATAAAATATGTTTACATACCAAATCCAGCGTTTCCACCCACTTCAAAGTTACCCTCTGCCAACTCCAAACCAGAGATGCATGTTTCACCTGGACATAGTAAGGACATGGATGGTTATTATCCACAATGCTACAATAATATTCACAAAACAGATGATTATACTTAGTCGAATAATATTTTTCTTTATAGTTTTTTTGAGAACGTTATTCTAACTTAAAGCATTCATAAAATTGGGTAAACTTAACAAAAATCCATTATTAAGGGTATTGTTCTTTTTAACCATCCTGTTTTGTATCTTATATTATGAAAATGTTTTAAATGCATTTTTACAAAGCCTTTAAAGATATAAGTTGCCGAAAAATTTCTGCTAATTCTTTCTCACATTCACAAAATTACATTACACAAGTCAGTTTTATGGGAAATTTAAAAAAAGACTCCTCCCATTTAAGCGTATCGGTTTTTTGGTTTAAGAGTAGATCGAACGCGTATTTAACGTACCTCGTAGAGTAACAGATCCATGTGATGTTACACTCTCTATACTCATGTCGTCAGAATCTACGTCCACAGAGGCAGAACTTTCCACCAGCAGTTTTCCTTGCACAAGACAAGAAGACCCTCTTTGTATCCGATGAACGCCTGCAGATAGAGTCAATCTGCTGCTAGTACCAACTTGTAGACTTCCTCGAATGATGCTGTCGTTGTTCATTGACAAGTGGCCATCTTCGATTAAAAGTTCTCCGCTATGGTTGAACTTGGCCCCAATGCTAGCTATCCTGTCAGCTCCGAGTGATACAGTGATTCTTCCTTCATTTGTAAACCAAGACGCTTCACTGTCTACACCCGATGCTGTGATCTCCAATGCGTTCTCCATTGTAAAAGTGGCCGATGATGCCAATCGAAGGACAGATGCTTGAGTTAAAGTTAGTGTAGCATCAGTTTCAACTTGGAGTGACCTAAGAATGCCGATTTTGCTAGCCTGTATTTCTTTGTCATCGTTGTTACCTCCACGAATGATGAGGTTGTCTATGTCAAAGCTGCAGTCAGTAAGTTGGAGGTTGGACTGTAGTATAACCGTGTCAAACTTAGCATTACCATGGACTTGGCCGCCAGTAATAATCATCTTCTGAACTTTCGGTATTGCGTCTGACAGATATAAGTTGCTGGACAGTGACTTCAGCAGTACTTCATTGACTGTGAATGGGTTTGGGGTCTCATTGAATTGAGAACTATTTAACGTCATAGTTCCAGTGCCTTTTAGCGTTATTTTAAGCCCACTGCTCTCTAGTAGTTGGTGTTCAATTCCTGTCGTTATCACAGCATGGCCGCCATGCACGTTAATTGTTGCATTTGGGCCAATGAATGATCCTTTATCCAGGACAAGATCACCTGGTCCTCTGAAGGTGATTGTAGGATGTGAGCAGTTGATGTTGAACGTACCAGAACCTATGCCAGTCATTTGGATGTCAAGTTCACTAAAGTCTTTTGTTACCGTGAATTTTCCTGTGGTTTGGAGAACAACGGCTGCAGAGCTCACAAATTTGGGACCCTTAACATGAACCGTGCCTGCAACGTTCAGGATCGACGAGTCTTCCATTTCTGTTGTTTGTAGCGCCATCTTGTGCTTTATCGCTAAGGTAGCACCCTCTTCTACCAGTACCGATGAATTGAGCATGTCGAGTTGAACAGAACTGTGAGCGATCCCACTGTGCTGAATTCGTAGTGAACTTGTCACTAAAGCCACATTTGAGCCAATGAAATGTATTTCTCTTCCTGAAACGTTGCAGTCTTCAATGGTGGATGACTCGGTGTCCTCATGAAACGTCAACTGTTGTGCCTGAATAACACCATTAGGTGATGTTGATTTGACCGTCCCACCTGTTACCTCAAAAACACCAATAGATACATCTGAATCAAAATTGACGGACCCTCTATTTAGACTGACCATCAGACTGACCTCTTCAAAAACGCTATTATGAACCGGATCTTCAGTGCTGACAAAGTTGACATGTCCGCCTGAGTTAATGTTTAGTGTTGTAAAATTGTTTGACAGGATCCAGAGGTTGGAATTTCGGACAGCGAGACGGCCTCCTGCTATGTTCTGCGGTGCCGTACTGTAGTGGTTGACAAACTCGACATTTGCATTTCTGTGAGCCACCATGCTTCCAGAGATATGAGCTGTAGACTGAAAGGATACCATACTTGACTCCTGTACCCAAACTGTTCCAGCGTTGTTGAAGTGGGGGCCAATGCGAATCGATGTTGTTCTGTGGGGAAGGTTCTCATCAGAACCATACACCACAAAGTTCCCATAATTCTCAATCGTTTCAGAATTGCCCTGAAATTCCAGCTGACCTTGTAACGTGGTTTCACAGTCAGACAGCAGGCGGATCACACTCCCGTCTTGCATCCCTACGGTGTCCTTGTTGATGGGAGTCAACCAACGGAATTGCTGACTGATTTGCATCACAATTGCCTGCAGGATCTTCCCAGCGTCATCTTTGTTCTTGTAGCTGTGCAGCATAAGCATGTCAACAGTCAAAGAACCTAGATCTGACACTCCAACCAATTGTCCGGCAAAGAAGTCAAACTCCGTGATGTCTGTAGGAGCCATAATTTTGAGAGAACCGCCCGTCATTGCCAGCTTTGAAATGTTGCAGGGGCTATGGATCTTCACTGCTCCTCCAGCTATTGTCAGTGACTCCAGTTCAAAGTTATTATCCTTGTTGCCAAGTAAGTCAACTTGTCCACCTGTGATTTTCACCTCCTTTGGCAAAAAGGTATGTCTCGAAGTCAACACAATAGAGACAATAGCCCCGGTTACATGAATGATTTTCTGTTTTAAAGTATCAGATAATAACTTAATTGTACCTTGAGTCAGTGTCAGCTTGCCATTCCCTTCAATGACTGATGATGGGTAAGAGAAATGATCCCTTATTTTGACTTTAGAATTTTGCCCGATGTTGATGTATCCCCTATTTTCACTTTTCTTGGTGACCGCAATTGTCCCTTCTGATACACTTAAGTTTCCAAAGTTGATAAACTCTGCTGAAGATGTGAATGTTTGTTTAACGTTGATTTGTCCATGGTTTTCAAGCCTACCTTGGTAACTGTTACTGTTTTCACTAGAGAGTGCCGCGATGCCGTTTACATCCATCGATGCTTGTTGTGCAATAATCAACGCTGAATCTCCACGAAGACCGAGGGTCTGACCAAATTCTTCCGACCACATACAACTCTTCAAGACAACAACCGTGACTTGTGAGGCAATTTTCTCTGTCCCTTGTGTTAACATTAAAGTACCAGCGTACAGTTTTCCTCCAGTGACCGTACCAGAAGACCACTGCAGCTGGTCAACTTCTGTTACATTGTGACTTTGAAGAGTTCCTCTAATAAGATCGTACTCGGCGACTGTTAGAGAAGACAGGGCACGAACAACACCTCCATTCTGCTGGACATGCCCCACGGTTGTAGGGCTGTTGGAAATAAAGACCCCATTCTCTGAGACAAGAAGGGACTGGATGAAGCAACGTATCTCTCCGTGGATGTAGACCGGTGCAGATATCTGCATCACAGCTGCCGACACGCTGCATGCGTGCATGGTGACAGATCCACTGCTAACCACCAGCTTTCCTGTACCGTTGACCTCAAAACTTGACAAGAACAAATGATGTCCATCAGCAATTTCTACAGTAGCATTCGATCCAGTTGTCAGAGCACCCTCCCACTGGCCTGTTCCTGATACTTTCATCAATGTGTCATCAAGGCACTGCACTATTCCTGTATTTCGAAAGTGACCATTGACTGCAAGCACCTTCCCATTGCTCTGAAGAGCATTTGTTAACATTCCTTTGTTTTCAAACATGCCCAGGTCTGAATCTATGGTGACTTCTGCCGTAATCATTAAATTCGCCTCCTTGGCAATAACGAAGTTGCCATGTCCGTTTATTTCTATGATTCCAGCTGCATCCCCAACAAACGTTCCGGATTTTTGTAACTCTAGTGAGCGCTGTTGTAGTGTCTTTGTTCCGGTACCCAAGCATTTCAGGTGTTTAACTAACAATTCACTACCCAGGTCTCCGATGACAGTTCCACTCGACCATTCAAACTCTTCAGCAATGATATCAAAACGTCCCCGTACGGACCCTCCTGTTTGTGACAGGTATCCGACCTCAGTTTGTACGTTTAGTTCCAATGTCCCAGATACAATCTCTGCATTTTCTACAAACAGTTCTGTTGGATCGTTCGAGAGACGGTCTGGTTCCACTGTTAAATGACCTCCATTGACAGACAGTTTGGAAACATTCATCGACAAAAGTTGAGTCTTCAGCGTAGTCTGTCCTGCACCTACTTGAATGTCTTCTAACGATCCGTTTGAGTAGAATACCACTGACGTGCTCATCGTTGATAACTTACCTGTAGGTAAACAATACTAGATTTTCAAAACATTTGACTCCTACCTAGCACAAATGCAATGTTTTGTGGGTATGTGCCCACCCTCCCACCTAATACAACAAATGGTATACAATGTTCAAATATTTGTATATTCAAATCTATGTCTGTATACTGTTTTTGGAAAATACATTCATGCAGATACACAGCTACATGTATATGTTACTAATATTATACACAATCAAATTGCACAACATACAAATGTACCAAAATGTACAATCACAACACCAACTTAGCAGTAGTAACAGCTTAGGAATTGGGTACAAGTGGAAGTCGTAAAATATCAATCTGCCCTAAGTGTAATTAACCAGTTTCCGTTTATAGCATGTATGAGAAATTTAACTTACCACGGAAGGTTGAAGCTTCATCGATGATAAGATGTGATCCTTCCAAGAGATGAAGTTCAGATCCTTTATCAGCTTGAAGCTGTCCTCTTAATTGAGCATCAGCTGTAAGTTAGGACACGGTAAGGGGATTCTTACTTGGAAATGCCCATATTGCTGTCAGAACAACGATAAATCGTAACGTGCTTCGTAAATTAAATGACTTTTAGTTCAATATTATTCAGTTTAATCTAATTAGTTGCATGTCCAGTGGTTTAAGAAATGCCTTCAAGGCAGCAGTTGGCAGGTAGAGTTGCCGTTACCAATGAAGTAAATCTTATATCCAAATATGCCGTCGTCATTTGAACCATTTTCGACAATTTCAGGTAGAAAACTTATGATTCAAAAATTAAAGAAAATGAAGCTTTAAATGTAGAAATGGTAAAGTAAAGTAAAATTAAGTAAAGTGAACTAAGTAACTTTTCCCACCTCTAAATGACAGGGTTGCCGTGTCTGGTAGATATAGCTGACCAGTGTTCTGAAATTTGACATCCATGTTGACGTCACTGTGGGGGAACAATTTATAGGTCCCCTTGTTCACTACTCGAGCAAGGTTGTCCTGTGAAGTATATGTTCCTGAAAATAAACAGGTACCACCATTCAGAAGGAATGTTTCCTTGCCACAAAGGTCACATTTATAACACTGTATGAAACGCTAGTGGCTAAATTACGTGCTAGGTTCATCCATGAATAGTGACCTCTGTAATTTAGGCTGAGGTCACAATTCCAAACCGGGGCCCGACCGGGTAGTCTTATGGAACGAAAAGTATGATATAAAATACAAGCAAGCACAAAAAGTTGAAAATATTAACAATGTGAAATATCTGCGTATATTCATGATATAAATCGTTGATTTTTCGCTAATCCAAACAGCCCGGCCGGGTCCCGGTTTAAAAATGCGACCTCATCATTAGCATGCCATTCAATGAATACATAAGGAAACCAAATTATACGAACCTCCCCCTTGGTGCTCAAAACTTGCACCTTCTGCTATTACAAGTTCGGCAGCGCTGTCCAATCTCAACTGACCCTGCCCAAACCATTGGCCATTGCCTCGAATGGACATTGATTGTGTCTTGAGATATCGCACACCATTTCCAGTTACAGTCAGGGATCCAGTTACAGATGTACGTGACTAAAAAAAGAATGATTTTCTTTTGTTAGATAAGATTATGGCATAATCCGCATTATTCACCCATTGGACACAGTGCCATTGTTATCGATTGTCATAATATGTAGTTTATCTAATTATGAATTTTTTAAACATTGCAATCAGAACACCAAAGCAGTAATTTAAGCCATCGCTTGATATATTTTGCTGCACAAGACAAAATAAAAATTTTAATCGCTTTACAACAGAAACATTTTGATACAAACAGAATGGGGTCAACTAGTACACAATTAGTAGTGAATGACACATTACCTTACTTTTGAAAACAAATTACTCACAATTTCACAATCTGCAAACGCAGTGCCAGCTAGTGTCCCGGCATCCCAGAGGAACGTGTCTTCAATCTCTATATGTCTTTCAATCTCGATCCTTGCATTCTGGTGGGAAATCGTCAGATGTTTGACATTGCAGTTAACTCCCAGAAGTTTCAGTTGCCCGTTGGTGACTGTTACCGAGTTGTGAACGGTCAGTGTCGGTGTGTCACTGCTGGGAGTGGTGCTGGTGATTTGGAGGGATCCGCCTGTCACACTGATGGAATCCATCGATGCTGAACTTCCAGAAAGGTCCAGGTGAACATTTCCCCTTCTCAGGTTTATTGTAGACCAAGGGATGTTCTTGCTCCTCATGTTTCCATTAGTTACCTACAAAATATAAACGCAGTCACCAAACACCTTGAGTGATGAGAGTGGTGATGACCAAATAACTAGAAACTTGATACAAATTAAAATGCCTGCAGCAGTACGGCTCTGTCCCATAATCACTTTGACTATTGCCTCCGCAAATATTGAAATTAAGCATAAAATATAACGTACAATACATGTTGTATGGCCAACTTACTTAATCATTAGTTAAATAAGACAAAGTAAACAAATATTGTACGTATCTATATCATCTACAGTTATCAAAATCTGTTTATTATTAAATTTCTATTTAACAACATTTCAATGAAATGGAAGAATAAAAAGTCACCTCCAAAGTCGATTGTATGCCAAGGGTTCCATCAGTGACGATCTCATGGTTCCCATCCGATATCACGATCTTACTCTTGTCTGTTGAGTTTATCATCGCACCAGCCATTACCGAGGACCTCTGTAAGAGAAGGTTGCCATGTTGTATCTGGATGGATGCGTAGTTTCGGAACGGTGTGTTGATACGTAAGTCCTGGTAGGGTGCATCGATGATAATGTCCCCGTAGTTCTGCAGTGCACCGTTCTCATCACTTGATGAACTGGTGAAGACCATGCCCCCGCCATGGATACTTAACGACGCTCCTGGGGAAATCTCAAACACCCTTGTCAGGACAAGATTCAGGCTAGTTGTGACCCAGTCAGACTTCCCTTTCAGGACAAGGTAACGGTTGAGATACATGGTTCCATAGGGTGCCACTTGCATGTTTCCGTTGACGGTCATCCGGCTGCCAAGCCTGCCTGCTAATGTCCCTCCGGTCCAGACAAATGTTCCGTTTACATTAATGTCACTGTCACCACTCAATACCCCGCTTCTGACTTCACAATCGTGTACTGTTGTTGGTCTGTTGAACGTCACTTCTCCCCCTGTGATAACCAGATCATCTATTTCTGTGGGTGACGACGACTCGTCAAGCACAACGAGCCCTCTTGTTACCTTCAGACTGGGGATGCGTTGGCGTTGTTCGGATCCGATGTAGACTGTTCCGGCTGTGACTGATACGCCGCTGACTCGGATGGACTTGAATCCAACCTCTGGTCCATTAACTTGGAGCCATCCTCCACCAGTCAGTACGGCATCTTTCAGAACCCTGCCTACATGAGTGGAGGGGCCGACAATGGTGAGAACATTGTTCTCAGAGACGTGGTACGTCCCTGTCAGGCCATGGTTTATGCTGATGCTGAGTCCAGATCCAGGGGTACCCGACACTGTAGTTCGTCCAAAATTATCGAACGATGACAAGGCAATGTACGCTGTACCAGGCGATGATTGCTCAACCTTGACTTCACCATTGTTTTGGAAATAACCGCTTCCGCGAAGGTTGAGGCTTCCACGGATCGAGACTACGTTGCCTGCAGAGTTGAATATCTTTCCACCGTGGTTGATGTTAATTGTTTGCGAACCTCTGGTCGTCACTGGTCCATTCAGATACATCTCCGGTACTTTCGCAGTTCCGTCTGTGGAACCTTCAATCAAGAGTGATCCGTTGACAGTCACTGGGCCACTGGTTTGAATTGTTCCTCCGTTCCAACTCCAACTTTCAGCTATCGCCACGTCACCCATCACTTTGAACAGGAGTCCCGTTTGGTATCTTCCCGGTGCCATGTGTAGCCTTAAACACAAGGATGACCAGGTTAATGATGAACAATTTATTTATATTTGTAAAATTCACATGGGTAACTCAGGTGAGTTATATTAAATGCGAAACTCATGTTTAAAAAAAGTTATCTTTCAGTATCATCAAAACTCAAGTATAATATAATACTCCATATACAGTATTTACAGGAATTAATGGCAAATTTGAATGTAATTTTACCTTTTAGTCCGTAAATTTCTTTCACAGTACAATGTGGCTGTCTCATAATCATAGTTGTTAGACCGAAGAATAACATCTGGAACGTGCAGCGGCAGCCAATCGGATGAGTTTCCGCTACTATGGATGTTGAACACACCTCTGATTGCTACTTCAATCTTGCCGACAGTGAGTTCACTTGAAGCTGTGTATAGGTCCAAAGTCCCACCACTGACGCGAATATTTTTTACCCGTACGTCTTTGCTTAGAACTGTTACTCGGGCCCCCACGTCCAGATTGCCAGAACCACGCAGAGTGGATGATTGCTCCAACGTGTGAGTACCCCCCGATAACTTTAGCGTGGCTTCTGATAAAACCCAGATTACGTTTTGCCATGTACTTGAACCTGTGCAAGAGAAAACCCCTTTGATCACCTGGACATCCCCTATGCTGTAGATGGTCGGTGCAACTGATACAGTGCCAGAGGAATGTATATTCAAGGATCCATTGTTGACGACACTGCCTGTATTTTCCTTCAGCAAAGATAAGATGCCAGTCATGTTTAGAGTAGCTCCTTCCGTTACTATCAGCTTCGCCCCATTTAAGATGTACAGCCTGCCAGAGGAAGAACTTCCTTCGACCAACGCCTCTCCATGGATGTACAGTTCTGTACCTGACAATCGGGCATCAAGGTGTCTGTTTCCCCAGCCCGGGTTTAGCTGCATCCTCTCTTCTACATGGAGCTGTCCTTGTGCACGACTACTGAACTTTCCAGCCATCCACTGAAAGCTTCCCTTTACCCGCGCCATGTTTCCCACTTCTATTCCCTTATTTGAATCGCTGGTAAACAAGGTAAGTTGCCCATCCACTTGCATGTTTCCGCTTACGGTAAGCGAATTGACGACTTCAAGGGTTATGTTCGGGAATGTGTGGAGATTCCGAATTTCTGTGTCGCTGTCAACTCTTACGGTGATTGTGAAAGCTAGAAGGAATTAAAGTTTGACAATGTCAAAATAGGGTCTGATTTTACGTTGAAATTTTATATTTTGGCGACGCGTCAAGGGCAGAGGCATTCGTGTAAGTACTACGATCGCTTTGAAAGAATTTCAAATTGAAGAATTGTTGCTATGCATGTAAAATGCATTATTTTTTGGCGAATTTTGGCTTTTCGCGCACGAGTGAACGAGCAGAACATTTTTGTTGCTCATATGAAAGATCTAGGAAGGGAGCAGTATTTTCAAGCTTTATGCCCAAAATAAGTTTTTAGTTTCAACAAATAGCGACATGTGAACACCTGTGGGAACACAACGATATTTTGCATCTTACAAAGTCAGATTTCAAATGATAAAGGGTAATTAAGCCAATACTACCTGTCTACACTACTACATGTTGTTGTACACACCTAAAGCAAATGACCTATTATACTTCCTACTATTTTACTTATTTTGATCTCAAAAGATCTTCAGAAGAGAACATGATGTTACCTTGAACTACATAGCTACATATTGCTACACACGTACAGTTTGTTGACAACTAAAGGTAGTAAAACATTACGTTTCTTACTTACCCTGTGAGAAGGCAAAAGAACCATGCCAAGAGCCCCACCTAAAAAAAAAAACGCCACTTGTTGTCTAGCTTGTTACAAATAAAGGTAACTCTCATGAATTTATGAATGGAAACCGTTTATACTCTATGTTGCTATGGTAATTTGCTACAAAGCAAACTCATCGGCTTTCTATGTTACTAACCTTCCGGTGGTGATTCCGTTCTGGGTGGAAGCTTGGTACGAGGACTGTCCGGGTAGTTTGTAGACCGTGACTACTCCGCCAGTAGCCGGGATCCTGCCGTCATGGATAGCAGCACGGCAGATACTGGAGTCCTTGTAGAGCAATACAGACAGTAAAATGAAATAATGGATTATATATTGACAACAATGTAAGTGGGTACCACTATTAGTCTATTACGAACAGGGTTGATCACACTTACGTCTGTGTAAATGGCAGTACCCCAGACACTACTTCCTGTAGTCGCACATCCAGCAGGGCAGACCGCTCTGTGCACGTGGTGGGGTAGGGAACAGATAGAGTGAGGTTCCAGACGCGAAGAAATTGTTTTTACTCTAACATTAATACAAAATATTTATAAATCGCACGGGCCATAACAGTGTCATCAGGATAGTTGACAGATGCTTTTAAAACGATGTCATTCTTATACTGCATCGTTATCGTAGATGTACATTTTACCATAGATTGTCATTTATATGACAGTAATAGACGTATACCTTTCGGACATGTTTTAAGTAAATTTCCCCACTTCGGATTCTTAACAAGTAAAGAAAAAATTATATTCCTCTTAAGCACTGATAAAACACATCTAACTACCCACTCAGCATCGTATATTTATACAATTACTAAGAAGCGAGAAGAAGTTGAAAAGACTAGAATACATTAGACATTTATATATGCATGTACATGTAATAGTTATATGTATATTTATATGAATATGTATTCGAATATGTATAATGTGACCTGTGCTTAGCCCAGTGGGGCAAAAATGTACAATAAAGGTATTTCTGATGCTCAACAAAATTCTCATGAAGAAGTGAAATACAGTACTGCTGGCTGTTGGCTTACGTAAATGCTTCTCCATCCATATGCCGGGACTGTGTGGTGCAGCTGATTTGTTCTGAAAGTAAAAGGTAGATATCCTCTATTGACACGCTAAAACTGACATCCGAAAGTGTTCTTTGGCGAGCCCCTAAACGGTTTTACGCTAAGCGGGTCCCTGCCTTGGTAAAACACCAGATGGGTGCGGAGACGGTATTACATTTGGCGGGAACACAACCGTTTAATTGCTTACTGAACAAAAACATAAACTTGACATGTAAACCTTAAATTGAACACAAAGGTACACTGTGGCCATATATGTGTTCGTGACGTTGAAAAATATGCAACCACATTTGAGCGACTTACAAACTTTGAACTATAATAAAAGCCACTACCACAACAATAATGGTCGACGATGAACAACGGAAGATAAAGAAGGGAAATTAAAAGAGTACTAGTAATGTCGCGGAACATTGTTCAGAATACTCATTCGATAAATGACAAAATCATAGTGACTAGGAATTGCTTAGCCATGTGAAGAGAAAGATGCCAGGAACCGGCTACCCCAACCCTAACTCCTCTTCTCCCCGGAGGCCAATAAGGGGAGAAAGAGGGGGGAGGTAAGATTTTCCCAGTGCTGCAAACGGCAGGATAAGTATTTTCTCACTCCAAAGTAGAAGTCGTACAAATGGCAAGAAAGGGTTGTCAAGTAGCTCGATCTGTCTGTGTTTGTCTCGTTAGCAATTACATATTACATAAGCTTGAATAGTCATATCATGTAATGTAACAGATTTATAGGATTTCCTTATAAATCATGCAGATAACATCCATATTTATATGCATAATTATTACATTCTTATGTCAGGCTTAACTTAACCTACCTACACAACAAAAATTATGCCGATCCGTCAAACGGTTCCTCTTTTGAATATTATATAGCAAACGCCCCTGCAGTTCCGGAGCAAGCCGCTAGGGTGCACAAACTAACAGCACTTCTTCCCCAGCACAAGAGCTATCTATCATATAAATATCGTGACCGTAGCATGTCAAGGTATCAAAACCGGATGTTCAGCTGCAGTGCCATGAAAAGCCGCCAGGGGGCCCTTACTCTAATCATTTCCAGGTCTTATTAAGTTCTACTGACCTACAATCCATTTAAGCCCTCTCGAGTTATCGTATTTACACACACACACACACACACACACACACACACACAAACGCGTCTGAAAACATACAACCTTCTTGTCGAAGGTAATTATGTAAGGAAGTTTCTGCCTCGAGAAAACTAATCTTCAAACAACATTACAGAAACTATTGTGTTACAGACGTGTCAAGAAAAAAAAGTAATTTCGTACTGACCTTCCTCTATAGGTGAGGGATTTCCTTCTGAAATGTAATAAAAGTTAACAATTGTTCTGGAATCTTTCATTTTGCTGAACCAGTATCTATCCTAAGTCTATCTTCACTTGAAGTTACCACTATCAAGAAGATGTTAACTTGAAACCCACATGTTTGTCATAAATATAAATGTCAATGTTAATTAAACGCAATCGGATATAACTTTACTAGGATGCAAATCATTGACAGAATTTGATTTGACTTGGGAATTCTGCATGTGGTCCCAAAATAGTGTTTGTCAAATGATATTTGTACCTATTTATACCTACCTATCAGTTCTATGACAACATCATCATCGGGTCCAGGAACCTTTTGTCCTTCCCAGTTGTCTTGTTGTGACCAGCTACCTCCAACAGGGGCGGTCCATCGGACTATTGAGCCTCCGGCACAGCACCATGCTGTCATGCACAGCAGCACGATGACAGCAGACACCATTGCCGGTATAACCCTGACATATCAAGCGTAGAAGTCACAAAACGATACTCAAATTCATAATTGCATTCGACTGAGGCTTTTGACAGAATGCCTGACCACGTCAATTTTCGAAAATTGCATTATTGACATGATCTTTAAAAGCCACAGCGACTTAGTTTTGTGGATGACATCCACGCGCGCATTGATTTTCGCCTATTGAAAAATCACGTCCTCCGAGCCTCTTGTCTGGCTACAGGCCTAGGTAGCCCATGGCAGTTAGCAACAATACGGAGTCATTGGTAACTCTTGAGGAAGGCACCCAGGCTACCGAAGCTCCACGACTCAAGAACTCAGTACATACGTACAGTGACGATTCACGATTTCCGCAAAAAGCCAGCATATCCTGGTTTGTCGTATACGTCGCTATGCACTGCCACAAACTCACACCAGCTTTGTATTCCTGTGGTTTACTACGATTTTTTAATTTTGGCCGGAATGTTCTTTTTTACTCACCCGCGCGCACTAGCTTGGAGGTCTTCAAAGGATGTCATCCATAAAATTTAGTCGGTATGGCCTTACTAACAATAACAGAAAAATGCACGATCCTGTCAATACTACGGTTTTACACTCTATTAACTGGTTATCCTATTAATAATAATTTAATAATACAATTTTTTTTAATTTCTTATACAAGTTATTAACAAGGTGATCTTGCCACAGGCCGCTCAATAGTAAATGTCATCTGTAATTTTCAGGAGGAAACTGATTGTGCAAATGTTTCTCTTATTTACAGTATGATATAGCAACAGCTGGTATGTTAACCTGACATGTAAATATAGTACACAATGTATTTACATGGCCAGATCTCATAGCTTGTTAACGTTATGCCGCAACATCTGTTATGTTATAGTATGTTTATCTGAAGTGTAACCGACACTGTTAACTGTTACCTGTTCCGAATTGTTTATTTCTTGTTGTGAGGGCTAGCCCTTTATAATAGCCTCTGGCTAGCTGAGCAGTCCTGGCTGTATACATTTGTTTACACAGTCTAATAAATCAAATCAAATCAAATCAAATCAAATACAGTCAATAATGCGAAAATATCTGTTGCCGACGGAATGATCGCGTCATTAGTAGGTTGATCCTGTCAATAGTGCAGAAATGTCCTGCTATTGTCAGGATGACCCTGTTAATAGACAATTCTATTGCAAAATATAAAAATCTTAATGGTAATTCTCAGCAACTATTTTTTAACCTAATAATCGTCTTGTTCATACCACTGAATTAGACGTCTCAAGCATATGAAGAAATGAAGGCAATGAAGAAAGGGCAAAACTTGGCTCTTCAAACTTTTTACGCTCCGGCCGGCCCGATTAAAACGACTGTGCGACTGTTAGATGTGTACATTTCAGTTTTTATAGGATCCAATTCGATCCCGTACACTATCAAGCAATCGTCTCTATTATTCTAAAGCAAGCAATTTTTTTTACAAAATTTCTATGGAAATGGGGGAAATACTTCTAGTTGCAAGATATTAACATTTTCATTTTCAACCACTTAACCACTTTTAACATCTTAAATTTCAGGGAGAAATGATTTTCAGATAATAGATTATTCGAATTATTGGGCATCTTTTCGTATAATTAATCCCACCACTAATGATTCAATCCCCAAAATCATTAAAATTTCAGAAAGAAACCCTTGTGTATGATCAAGAAAGTTAAAAAGAAAATGCTAAGAATATAAAAAAAATAACGAAGAAAAGAAAATAAGAAAGTTCCATTTGAATCAAGGCATGCATCACTTTTAACGCATCAGAAGAATATCTAGAAATAAGGCTTGGGTTCGAAATCCATTTTTCAGCCAAAAACTTTTTTTTATAAGCGCGCCCGATTCAGAAAAGTTCATGACTAGGTAGCAACAACCACGTCTAATAGAAAAAATTCAGAGAAGCGGATACACATTATATTGATCTATTTATTACTTTATTTCTATGTTGTATAAAACAATTGTCTGCATTCAATGTTGTCAGAGTGGCATTATTAGCAATGGCATATAACAATATGACGGATGTCATGTTAAGTGATAATTCTCTTAAAAGATTTTCAAATCTACTATTAGACTGAATTTAGCTTAAACTTTAAACCATGATTCAGTTCGACATATAATATTGGCAATATTTCTGATCTATACCATACAATACTAATCACTGCTCTATCTTATGTCATTGAAAACATCATTGCATCTCATCTAATATTCTACAGGTCAAGAAATAAAACATTCAAACTTATAGTATTACCTTTATTACATACAAAATCTTTCTATAAAGCATATATCGATGCAGAAAAAAATGAACACCAGCAGTAAGCCATTTTTGTTAATTCACTGCTACTTTGAAACGTTGTTGAGAACCCAAAAGGTTCTCATAAATGTGATTTTAATCGCCATGTTTTTAATCTGAATATCCATTTTGCTTATACCATTTTGCCCTTTCAACAGTATCATTAGCATAGTCGTTTCCTGGTGTCCCTATGTCCATGCCTTCATAAGTCCTCACATTCCCTAATCCACCATTGTAAGCTGAAATACCCCCTGTTTGTAAAAGGATAGTTCATTGTTAGAACTGCAACAAATAAAAGGTTTGTTAACACAAAACGTCTCTGCATAGTTGCCAGTCAATAACAACAATAATTAATGAATTTTTGATGCCATATCAAGAAATAATTTACACATTTTTGTGCAATCTCCACACGTTAACAATAAAGATTTTTGAAAATATATTAATGGGTTTTGTTTTACATATGGGTTTTGTTTTACATATTTGTCATTTATGAACACTCTGGCTTTGAAATAAACTTGAATTCTGAAACACAATATCTCTATGAATAGATCATTTGTTAATGTTAGGAATTTTTATGGGTTTTATGTCAAGTTACTCATGGTTTCAAATATTAATAACATCCCATGTAATTTTGTGTAAATTTTATCATTAAATATACATAATTTATGCTAATTTGATGACGTCATCGGCCACAATCCAAGATGGCGGATATCTTAAATATGTATGACGTCATCTTATGACGTCACCGGTGTTGCTATGGGCATTATAAGACAGTACACCCTAATACTCTGTCATAAACACTTTTGGTAAAGTTATGTTGTATAATACCATTTAGTTTTCAGGGAATAGCCTATCTAGACGGTTTTGGCCAATAAAATCACATTAATGACGTCATAATGACGTCATATTACGTCGTAATGATAAAAAAATTGTAGATATGATAAATTTTTACTAGTACACAATCCTCTGAAAATTTGGTAGTCATACGACATACCGTTAGCGAGTTCTGAGGGGGCGGGGTCAAAAGAGCTCCCCCCCCCGGTCAAATCTTGCTCAAAAAAGCCCGGTCTAGATAGGGTTAAGCACTTAACGTTCATTATAGATATTAAACTTTGCTATATATTAAAATGCCAATTCGGAAACACTGTAATGATTCACCCGAATGATGCTTTCATTGTTTTAGAAATGTACATTATGTAAATCAGAATATGACTTATGACTTATTATTGAGAAATTTTATCATAGGACAATTCAAATATGTGACATGTAATTAGGGAACATTGAGATATGAACATTATGCAAATATGTCAAATTTCCAAAAAAGTTAGAAATGATCAACTCATATAAATATTTTTTTTAATTTAATGATGCGTCAGTTATAAAGGCTAGCATCATTTTATAAACGTTTAAGGTCGTAGATGTTCTTTTCTAGACATAATGGTAGACACACCCCACATGTGCGGATTGTTAGCACTGACCTTTCAGCTGCTGTTCTGTTGTCCAGTCGGGGAACTTCCTCTGTATACCCTTGATAGACTCGACAAGGATGTCTGTGGCTTGGCGGACATGCTCGATACTTCTAGGCTCTCCTACTGGGGTGTGATAACGCTTGTCAACCTAAAGAAAAGGTTTTATTACAACATATTAATACATTCAAGGCCATTCATTGCCGAAGTTTCAAAGTCAAGGAACGGTTTAAACAGCTGCGATGTTTCAGGCCACAGCAAGTAAATGACATCCTCCACAGACTTTAATTATAATACGAGCTGGCGAAAAAAAACAAGGTGGGCCTAAAAAAACACTGTCAGAAGGCAACCAAATGTCTTGTTTCCCCCCCAAATCTGGCCAAAATTAATGCTCGCGGTGATGTCATCCATAAAATTACTTGCTGTGGCCTAAATTGTGAATTACTGCACTAACAGTTATAGATCTATTTGTGTCACAAAAAGTAAACCAATTTCATTTTTTTGTTTATTATAATTCAAGTGATGGATAAGTGATTGTCGTCCATACCTGCATAATTCCAAATCCATTTTCGTCATATCTTCCAAACCCGTCCTGCTTCAACTGTGTGCCTCCGCGGGTCTCCCGGCTGATTATAGCTGCTATGATGGCTGGGTCGATGTTCTTTTCTTTTGCCACTTCCATTATGATGTCCTTGTACTTATCAACATTCTTCTGGTCTGTCTTTGCCATCTTCTGTGATGCAGCCGGTCCTGTTGTACATTAAAACACTTTTTACTACACCTGTGAAAAGACATAACACTATAGACAGGAATTTCCAGCACATAGCAAAGAAAATCTTAACTGATAAGAACACAAATAACAAAACTTAATATTCCCTTACCTTCAATTTTCAATTTGTCTTGCTTTGCTGTTGTTTTTGATGCTCCAGTGGCGTCAACCTTCGTAATATCCCCGTATTCACCTAAAGGACAGAATCAGATCAGAATCATTAAAGATAGCGCCTACCTAAAGAAACCTAACCTTAGTAAAGTATAAAATTATTGTTTTGTTTCAATGGGTTTCTATTGTCATCTGTGGCCAGAAAATAGTCTGAAAACTAGAAAGGCCGACATTTGCTTTGGAGCAAATACAGCAATGGCTTCACCACATTTTACGACATGGCAGGGAAAGAATGAGAAACACAAGGGAAAACAATGCTTTACATTGATATAACTATAGTATGAAGTAACATACAACTAAGACTACAACAGTTGGATAGCTATTCCCTACATTATTGGTTAGGATTTTTAATTGCATAATGCAAACTGTTGATTTTCAAGAAAAAAAGAAGTGTTCATGCCCCGCATTCCAATGCTGGAGCAGAAAAGCTTGAAATACCTACCAAAACACTTGAATACAGACATACTGTCAGTATGGAATGGATCTGAGCAGGTATTAATTAAGTTAAGCCTGTTAAATTCCAACAGCCAATCAGCAAGGAGTATAGAGGAAATCTGCATGCCTATTGGTTGATGCCCTGCATTCCATTGTGATGACTCATGCCCAAATGTGGTAACACTGCACACTTACTCAGTAATACATTTGCTATAACACAGCCAAAAAAACTCAAATAAAACCATTCTAAAAGCCTGTATCACAAAAATTTAAAAAACGCCTAAAGGTATTTGCCCACTGTACCTCCATACCAAATTTCAGGACCTTAGGCCCTAAAATGAAGAAGCTGAATCCATTTAAAAAATGGCAGGAGAAGAAGGAGGAGGAGAAGAAGAAACATCAGAAAAAGCAATATGGGTTCACCACCACTTCGTGGTGTGGTGAACCCATAATGAGAAAAAAATCATAGTGTGCACCGACCTTCTCCCTCTGGTGTTGGATTGCCTTCTGGAATATAAAGTAAAACGTGTTATAGCACACAAACCAGAATATCTTACATAACTTTACCATGGTTTCATCCTTATCTACTTTTGAGAAAACAATAATGTAGATTGGTTACGAATACCGATTTCGAATAAATGCAGTCGGAAAAGGTTGTCAATACTGTTACTTATCTGATAAGCATAAAATACTTCCCTTTTACCATATTGGCCATGTAGATTTAAATAATGCTTAAACAAAACTAACACTGTCATACATAAAACAACGGAGTATGAAATATGTGGATAATATCATAACATAGGACTAGGATAATAAGTACAGTATTACAAACTGCTGACTTCTTAATTGCTTTTCTATGCCCTAGCCATTAACTTTGCCTCAACGAAAGTACATCAAGCCGGAAGTAGGAAATTGTGTTTTTGTCGGTATATGCAAAAAAAAAAAAGAGAAAAATGAGCAATACGTTATATATAGTTTTTACCTTCTGAGCCCGGAAGCTGCCCAGGTTGTGAGCCATCCCCTTCCGAGTCACCATCTTTAGGTTCCCCAGGGTCTCCTGACCCAGACCCTGGACCACCAGACGATGACACACAGGGATCAGCTTGCCCTTGTAATCCATGGATATCTCTCATGTTCACAGGGTTGTTAAACACATACTGGTACAGGTTTGGCTGCAAGCTTTCGAAAAGAATTGGATCTCTTGCTGTCCACCGCCCTATCTCTGCGTCATAGTCACGGTATGTAAAATGTGTGAGTCTGGAATACGGATCAACAAGACCCCCCGCAAAGCCAATAGACAGAGGTATTTCAGTGCCTGACTCTTTCAGAACAGTCCCATATGAGGTGCGTTTGACATGTTTGACGGTGTTGCCACTTGTATCTATTATTGCTATAGGACTTCCGAGATGATCGGCCATGACGTATCTCATTATATCGTTTGTTTCCATAGCAATGACATGGTTCTGTTTGTTATAGTATAACTTGGTTACTTGGTCGTCTTGCACTGTAGCTGTGACTCCAAACGGATTGAAAGGATCGCCATAGAAATAACGTTCTTCCTCCCCTGATGTGGTTTCAACCACGGCGATACGACGGTGTAAACCATCGTAAGAGTACAGAACTTTGTAGCGGTCCTCTTCCTCAGTCGACGTTATCTGCCCTGTAGAATCGTACTCAAAATGTTCTAAGTCATAGTCCGTTATGAAACCTGCGTCATCAAAATTATACGCCTTGCTATCGTATGTTTGTATCCTGTCTTGATCGTCATATGTGGCGGTTTTGTTTGTACCAAAGTGATCCACCCACCACACACGATTCCCATTCAGATCATAGCTGTACAGTTCCGTTAGGATATCGTTTTCCCTAACTGAAACCAACTGTTCATCTTCGTCATACTCGTATGAAAGGATAGTAACATTGCCTGCTACATCAACATTTTGCACTGCTACAAGGGACCTGTTGTTGTATGATAATGTTAGAATAAAGACATCTTTGTTTGCAATTTTACACCTATGCTCAACTGCCCGACCATAGCCATCGTGGATGTATGTGCACGTCAATGTTCCATCAGTTACTTCTTCTGTCCAGGGGTTTGGATGTGTATATCGAAAGCTTCCTTCCCTGCGTAGCTCGTTGTATTCATCATACTCTATGTTGATGACCTTTCTCCGTCCATACACAGTCTCGTCTATCCTGTTCAACGTAAGACGATCTCCGTATGAGAACGAAAACTGGGCGTCAAGATCGTCCTCATAAACTACCAGCATCCTGGTCATCAGGTGAGCATTGTACTCGTACAGTAATGTTGATTTTACCCTCCTATTCTCATAACGTCTAATCTCGTCAACATTGTCGTCGTCATCTTGATGCACAAAGCATATGAATGTGGCATCGAAGGCTTCACTAGTTTTGCGCGAGCTTGCATCGTACCAGTATGAGACGGTCTTCTCTCCAGGCATCACCCTTTGTACAAGTTTATTGTCTATGTTGAATGTGTCCATCACCGTTCCTTGTGTAGAGTTAGGTGTCAGGTACACTATGTCCTTTGCATTGGCGCGAACGCGAGTTTTTAGGGTATGTTTTGCACCACTAGGCATTGTAATACTTACGAAACCACCACTGGAACCGTATCCAAATTCGTAGAGTCGCCCAGCATTTGTCACCATGTGTGTGCGCTGCAATGACGAAAAGAGTTTGCTTGTTTTTGTATACGTATCTGACATTTAAAAAACGCATTGCAAACTTAAAATTTCAATGCTCTGTGTGTGTGTAAAGCAAAAGATTACAGAAATTCGGGTTTAGTCGCCAAGTGATTGTCATGTAGACGAAAGGGATATTAATAGATATAATCTTTTTTTTAATCTTTCAGCAATATTTCTGCTAATTTCACTTTGAGGACGATTTCTTTTTGCCACTCTCGGGGCCCAAAACGCAGCAACGAATGGTACAGTGCAATCTTGGGAGTACAATACCATTGACATCTTACACTTTATCAAGTAGATGAAGCCACATGAATGTATATGTACCTGTCCCTTGGGGTTCCACACATAAAAAACTGTTTTCCCAGAGCTTGTCCTCTCCTCGATGATATCCCCGAGGTCGTTCTGAATGTTGGGTTAAGGTAAAAACACAGAGTACGCAAATCTACCCGAAACTGACGTATTGAAGTTTGTTATTCCTTTTAAAATCACTGTGGTACTGTGTTTGAAGGCAAAAAAAAAAAAATGTGGTATTGTGATTTTAAAGAGGTAGGTTTAGACAATGCTAAACATAAATATAATATTATGTCATCTGTTCGAATGATGCTTATATATGCTCTTTTAAGCACTACCTCTCCCTCTAATATGATTGTAATGTACAGGATGAAAATATTCTAGACAAAGACACAGTACAGTGCTATCAGTTGCAACATAACAACATTAATGTTGTGAATGTCATTGCTCTAACACAAATGTTATGTTGACCCAAATAGAAAAACGTGGATTTTCTGATAAAGAAGGATACATATTCGTATTCCACCCACTTCTCCCCAATCTCCAGTCTTGTCAGCAGATTGCTGTTATTCTTGTAAAAGTAAGTCGTATTGTACATCCCTCTATGAGGCTGCTCTAACAGGACACGCCGTCCCGAGTCATCCCACGTTTCACGTCGGACTCTACAGATATAGTATTGGAAATCATTTTTCTTTCCGATCAGTTTGAGACAACGAATAATAATAGGAAATGCATGAGAAAAAAGTAATATTGTATACATTTGTATGCAGGGCAGATACATCAAAATAATTCTGCCTACATTAAGCGAAAATTGGTTGTGTTAATTTTTTTGTTACATGGAAAATAAATAAAATTGCCATAAACTAAAATTAGATTGAGAGTTACAATTGCTCAGTACAGATGAGAGGGTGAGTTTAGACAATACTTACAATTCCCGAGAAGGCTCCCGAAAATAACTTTTGGTCAAACTATCCCTGTGGTATTCCTCACTAGAAACTGCGTTACCGTTCACCTGTAAATGATAGAGAAGAAACAATGGAATAAAACAGCTTACTAGCTTACTACTAGTAATAGCAACTTGATTATTTCACCTTAAGCAAAGCCTGGGTAGCTCCTTTAACGTTAATGTTGTTTTCCAAGAGGACCTAAAGAAACATGATGTATAAAGAAAAATTATACAAGGAACACAACAGCTTGATGTATATTGAAATAACTACAGCTAAAAGTTAAACTAAAGTTAAGAATACAACATTACTATTACAACGAGATTCACAACATAAAACCAAAATGTCACAACATAATCATAATCCAAAGTCTCGTCCAGTTTCTGCTCCATGGTCGGAATCACTGGAGGACATAAGTCTGTTAAAAAGCTGCCTTGAAGTGTTTTATTGTTGAAATGACCACTATTAGGACAAGCCAAGCATTATCAAATAGTTCAATCAAGCACACGTATGATATTTGGGCAATGTATGTTAGGCTTAAAGCTGGTTTTATGAAAAAGGGAAAAATATCTACTGACCTTGGTTACTGTTTTGTTCATCTTCATAGTAAGAGGGTTGTTATCAACTTCCAGGATAGCAGAATACTCGTACTGTGTAGTTAACTCCCCGGTCGGTAGAACGAAATTGTTGCTGGACACCAGCGGCACCTGATTTCCCCATACAGGGTGTGGTGCCATCTCCACCACTACCTATGGTTTAGTACAAACAAAATATTCACGTTACTATTAGTACAAAATTTCCACCATCGTTTAACTTTTCTCATATTCTATTCTATTTTCTTCAGGTATATTTGTAATATAATGGGGACGTTGTTTACATCTACTTATGCCACTGGATTATATCCATATGGTTGAATGTCATGTGGGCCTAGCCATATAGAATTTCACCCAAACAGGTCAAATCTGGGGGCAACATTAATCAGTACATGTATCGCCCATTGCAAAAGATGTAATTCTACTCAATTAGGACAATAGTAATATATTCAGAAGCTTAAACAATATGCAGGTGCAGTTTTATCAACGTATTTGGCCTTTTATCTGTCACTAAAGATCAAAACCAACCAAACGATTTGATTTGATTTATTAAGCTGATAACACATATGTATGCAGCCAGGACTGCCCAACTAGCCGGAGGCTATTATAAAGGGCCAGCCCTCACAACAAGAACATAAACAATTCGGAGCAGTTAACAGTGTCAGTTACAATTCAGATAAACATGCTACTACATAACAGATGTTGCGGCCAAACGTTAACAGGCTAAACGATGCACCATTACTTACAATGGACATGTCTGAATTGTTTATTAAAAACATGTAGGGTTTAGTAAAACATGTAGGGTTAAATAAATTAGCGTCATTGAAATCTCCTAAGAAACTAGTTTTAAAACCATGCGATCTGCTGGTTCTTTTGATACTCACTCGACAACAATGACCTAATGACAATAACCTGACAATGACCTAATACCAGTGATATTCGCCATTATTGCACCATACCAAAACGCTTACCCTTGATCTATCTGCATTAACGGTACTGGTTGTTCCATCTGCAGAGTTCCTCCTTGATTCTTTAATTTTCCTCCCTCCAACGCGAACCGTTGTACGGGTGATCCCTGGCACACTTTCATCCACCTCTAAATCTAAACAACAGGATTCATATATGGCAACATGTTCATGTACGAAATAAGAACAAGTGTACATTAACTGACTTTATATAAAGGACAATGTTGAAATAATACCATTTTTGCTTGGTATATTCTAATCTTAATATTCTTAATCATCTAATACGTTTGTATGTGATAAAAAAATTCTATTTCAATAATAAAAGTTGTTTATAATATGGTAACACTGGCTCTACGAGTGGTATATCATATTTTGCTGTAGACTGTAAGCCTGTCCTTGGTGCTGAAATGATATTCCATTGTTTAAACTTTTACACACTGATTGTGGCAAATCATTCTGTTTAGCTGAGCTGTTTCAATCTTTTTTTTAAACCAACCAAACAAGAAATAGATTTCTAAAAGATTGTTTTTGCGAATCTTCCATGGTGATGTTTGACGTTTTGTTTTTAATAAAGTAGGAGAGGAACTTCATCAGTTGTAAATGTAAATCATTCCATCTTCGATTCCCTTTAAATTTGAAACTGTTTAAACTTAAACCTTTTACAAAGAGTATAGATTCAAAGAGTCTTCACTGTACCTTCCTCGCCCAATCTGGTAGATGTTTTCAACACCGTGGCCTCTCTGCCAAAGTTCTTGCCATAGAACTTGGTGACGCCTTGGTTGTCAAACTGACGTAAGACACTTCCTGTCGGACTGTAACTGAAACGCGATGAGCAAATTAACATTCTAACACAGTGCCTATTTGACAAACGACATTGTACCCATGTACAATGTCGTTTGTCAAATAGTCACTGTGTTAATATATTAACCAAAGAATTCTAATGAATAAAGCCTATTTTTTTATTGTGGACAACCAGTGCAGAACATTAGAGGCAACACTTAAATGTATATCTAAAATGTATATTTAAGACTAAAACTCAAAAAGATATCTAACTATTTTTCTTCAAGTCTTCTATTACCATTTAAGTGATCAAGTGTTAGATGTGTTAAGTAATGTTTCAATGACCATGTGTTAGATATGTTTGTCAATGTTATAATGTTTTTAATATGAAAATAAAAATATTTTCCTGGGCAGTGAAATTAATTGTTGTCCAATATGACTTATAGTAATTATAGTCTATGTATGTTACTCTGTTTTAATGCTTTAAATATTCTTAATAAGTTACGTACGCCATCATTCGCCTGTACCCAGACGGAGACTGTATAGCCGTTAGCAGGCCGCCATTTTGGTACGTCAGTTGTATCTGTCGCCCGGTGTTGTCCGCTAATGCACTCAGCAATCCCTAGACGAATAACATTTTCTTAGCTGTAAGCAATCCCTAGACGAATAACATTTTCTTAGCTGTAAGTCAAATTCTATATGATTCGTTAAAAAGCGGTCGCGGTCAATTAAGATAAGTATTGCTTTTTACCTTGAATGTGTACCAACGCATGTGACATCTATGGGCATGCTATGGGCATTTGTAGTATAAGTCGCCATGTGGAATTTATTTCTTTTTTCGTAAATAATTTCATCAGGATGGTAAGCAAATGAATAGCAAAGTTCTTTGATCACAACCATGAGCCGACGTTGCGATGACCGTCTGTCATCTTCATCAGGGCAATTCTGACTGGTTTGCTGTGCACAGACGCTAGATGCTACTTGGTGCATAGTGCACTAAAGGTGTTTCATAGTTCACAGTGCGCTGTTATTTGGTTCACAGTTTACTTTAGCTAGTTTTTACTGTTAACAATACATTTCCGAACGTAGTGCAATTGTGACATACATACTAGGCGTTGTTACCAGTAGTGATCAAAGAACTTTGCTATTCATTCATTTCTTGTATCGCCATTACATGAATTGTCTTTGAATTGTGATATTACACAAAAACATAATTGATAGCCAGAAATAGAATTACATATTTTACCATAATTATTTAGTTCTCTCACCTCATTATTCTTTTCTAGATACAAATTCTGTCTGTACGGAGCCCTGATGGTATGTGGAGTTCCGTTGTCGTCTCGGTCAATCGATATGGTCTGATTTGTCGATGGGAGGAGGATGCTGGTTAACTGTCGATTAGCGTTGTAGCCAAACTCATAGACAGGCTGGTTTCTTGTTATATCAACAGTTTGAATGTGTTGGCCAGTGAAGTCAAAGATGTACGCTTGACTGTAATAGGAAAAAAAAGGTAGTACATATAAAAAATTATCAATATCAATTCAACACAATACATAGAGTATATATGCAACAATCATACATGCATATGAATCGGAACTTTGGCATCAAATGGTTCAGAATTGTTTGCAAAAATAACCATGAATTCATTTCCACAAATTGAAATGTACACAATGCCTTCTGACAACCGCTGGTAATCTGATTGCCATCACTAATTATTCAACAAGTGATTTGAATCTTTACTGATAAGCAATACAAGTTTAGGAAGTCATTTAATCTTGTAATGTAATATATCGCATAAATTATACAGTACTAGGCATTGAAAACATTTGCTATAACTCTTGGTTACAAGCCAACGTGTTGCAAGAGACTGTATTTACCTTGGGTTTGTTCCAGGGATGACAAAATGTCCGTCTGTCAACCCTCCGGAAATGTGCGCTCTCATCTTCCGAATTCTGTAGTTGCCTGCAGAAATACATAAGAATGGACACAAATTTACTTCAAGGGAGATACAATGATTTTCACTTGTGTTGCTTACTTGCTTCTTGTCATACTAGTTGTTATTTTAGGCACATAATTATAACATAAACTGTTTTTGTTTCTTAAATGAATGGGTTAAGTTACATCTCTTTGTTTAATCATTGGATTTTGTACGTCATGTTCAGTCATTACTATCTTCTCAAAATCAATAAGTCTTACAGTTTTTTAAATACTTTTAGAAAAAAAACCGTGATCTTCTACCGTAACTGTTACTTGAGGTGCCCACTAACGACATGCAGTTTCATTTTAGAGTCCTATTAAAACATATGCAGCATATTCTATGTTATGATTAACATATAATCCAGCTTTACCTTGATCAGCAATGTACAAGGTCCCATCAGGTGTAACCGTCAGTGCAGTCGGTGTATGCAGCTTACTCTGAACCGCTAGTTTGCCATCTTGTTCAAAGCAGTCGCACGAACTCTGCCGGCAGTCACAGTCAGACTGTCGCCCGGCTATGAGCCGTATCCCTCCGTCAGGGTCGAGTAGGCGCACACGGTGTAGGGAATTGAAATCTGTCTCCGCGATGAAGATGTTCCCGTCCTGAGAGATGGCGATTCCCTGTGAACAAACAATTGTAACATATATGTCAATTCCCAGTTTATACTAAGTACAGAAAGGAACAGTACATACTAAGTACAGCAAGGAACAGTCATGCCTTCAAATATCAGAGTTATCAACCAAGAATTGAGGTGTTCAGAAACTAGTATTTCCCCAGAACTATCGTAGACTGGAACTCGTTGCCACCAAGCACAGTTGGGGCATCATCACTAGAAAGCTTTCAACAACTCCTGCAATTAAATGTGCAAAGATTGAGTGTAACAAGTCGTTAGGTGCGATATAGCTAGCTGCCGCCGCGCCGCGTGCCTGCGAAGCTGGTGTGTTACGCCGAAGGGCGGTTATATCGGCTATACCGATACAGATACAGAACACGAAGAATGAAAATGTTTATTGCACTGTTAATGCTGCATGGGGTCACATTTCCAAACCGGGCCCGGTCGGGCAGTCTTATGAAACGAAAAGTATGATATATAAAAGACAATTAAGTACAAAAAGGCGACAAAATCAATATTTGTAACTATTTGCGTATAATGTTTAATGTAATTTTGTATTATTTTTCGTTGATCGAAGCAGCCCGCCCGGGCCCCGGTTTGGAAATGTGACCTCAGCATAATCAACGTATTTTCGGACTGTTATTGCCATTCGTATCCACAATCTCACCATTCAAATTACCAACCCACACGACAGAGGTAACTTGCCAGTTGAACTGCAAATACCTGTACATTTAACGCTAGAAGCTTTAAGGCAAGTAGCAATAGAGTAAGTTATGCATTAACTTGGTAGGTGTGAAATATTTACGATTTAACTTTACCTGTGGATTGACCAACTTGCTGTTCAAGGCCTTTGTATTAGTGTCTTCCACATTTAGTCCAGCTTCTGGTGGCCGGAAAGCCTGTTGACCGGCAATAACTTTGGTCTGTCCATCTCTTGTCAGCCGAATGACCACATCTTGATCCACAATGTAGAGTTGGTCCCCGCCCCTTGTGACTGCGATGTGAGTAGGCCATGTCAGGGTCGTCTGGGCAATCAGGGTATTTCTGAGTTCAGAACCGCTTGAATGAGAAAATTTCGTCAGATCGTTTGTTCCTATGTACGGTTCGATGTAACCGTCCGGTCCGATTTGTCGAATCCGACGATTGTCCACAACGAATATGGTGTCTTCCTCGCCAACAGCGATTCCTGAAAAATAATATAGTATTTTATCATATTGTCAACCTCGATACTCCTAAACATGGAAAGATCTGTTTTAATTAAATTGCATAAAAACGACAATGTTATATTGTGTTATATGGTAAAGCCAGACAGAAGTATTTTTTATATGGAATCCGTAAAGCTACACGTAAAAGTCTACATTAAAAGAGCTCAATTTCACTTTAACTAAATATTTTCCTTAAATTAGACGAACTTGGAGAAAAATATATTTCAACCAAGAGTTTCTTTAAATGAATTTACATTATCTTCATTAAGAGATTTTGTGTTTTACCTTTAAGTGAATTAAACGTTGCTTGAATAGCTAGTCCCCCATCTCCGCAGCTGTCTTCCCAAGGTGGACACTTTTCTCCTGTTCCGGCAATCACAGACAGGGACGGTCGCTCTTCATCAGTTGCAACCTTAAAAACCTGTCTTGCGTCCGGGTCGGACACAAAGATGACATTATCTTTCAGACTGGAAGCAAGGTAGTAGACATACTCCGGGCGGCTTCTTCTGAAAACAACCAAATATATGGTATAATGGAAATAATGGAAAACAATATTGTGTGTACTAAGCTTATGATGAAAAAACTCTTAACTTGTGACACCGTTCCACTTTTGTAACATAAAGGGCTGTATGATTGGAAAGAATAAATATGAAGATAAGATAGTGCAAAAGCTGTGGAAGACGAATTCTTAAACTGTTCATTTCATAACAATAACGCTCAAAATGACTCGTCTATTCAAACGTATAAAATGAACCTGGCTTCTCTATTCCACTATTCATACGTTTTTACCTTCGCCAAACCAACAACTTTTCAAAAAGTGGGACACTAAGTCCTCCATGGTTTACAAAAAAAAAATGTTAAACCCTTAAGACATAGTTCCAGACAAATACCTTGTTTAAGCAACATTTTAAAGTTATTTTGTACAATTTTTCAATGTTCTTTTCACCCTTGTTATTAGCCTTCGGGCAAGAATTTTCCATAGATTGTATAATCATAAGCTCAGCTGTTAGATTACCTTAATCTCGTCACAGTTGTTACAGTACCGTTTGGCCAGAGTCTTCGGATGAAGTTGTAATCTCCGATGAACACACTTCCATCAGGACCTGTTGTGAGCGCCACTGGCAAGCGAAGCTGAGTTTCCTCACCATCTCCTTCTCCACACGACTAGATCCAAACAAATAAATATAGATGTTTAGAGTTAAAACTTTCGAACCAACAAAAAATTCTCTCACTTAGAGCTTTCGACCAGTAACTCTGGTCTTCCTCAGTAGACTGACCCATTGAGTCTACTAGATACTAGTACCTTTGACCCAGTGTTGACGTCTCACTAACACTTCAAAGAAGCCAGGTGACACTCACTGGGTCAGTCTACTGAGGAAGACCAGAAGTGACTGGTCGAAAGCTCTAGGTGAGAATTTTTTGTGTTGGATCGAAAGTTTTAACTCTAAACATGTAACTGTTAACACAGATGAACTTTCATGATAAAATAAGTATTGATCATTTCTGTAACCTCATTAGCCAAATTACCTTTGCCAGAAAAAAGGCAGTGTGGGTAACATAAAATGGTAAAAAAGAAAAGCCTCACCAGACAATCGATAGGAGCTCTTGTGTCGCTCCCGACCGCAGTTTCCAGAGTCTTTGTCTGGTCAACCACAGAAATGGACTCCCCAGTTCCCAAATGCAGGATACCTGTTACAGAAGAGAGAAGGTTAATTTATACTTTTCGTTACGCAAACTCGCGATACTTTAACCCTAAACAGTACACCTGGGGTCCGCGCGGACCCCAGCACTATATATTCTGTAATATTTTTTTGTTTCTAAAGATTTTTTCTGAAATTTTAGGTAATTGTCACCCACAAAGTTGTCTCTCAATACAGTGCAGAAAACTCCGTTTCTACCATTTATAAAAAAATTATATCTGATTTTCTTTTGGGGTCCGCGCGGACCCCAGCCGGCTTTCGATCATAATGGATACACCGGCGTTCTTATACATTACCTTATTTCCGTTTTTATATGTTTTTATACACTCATCGTATGTCTACCAAGTCTTCAGAGAATGGTGTAGTAATAGAATTAAATTTTAATAACTTTGGTGTAATTATTTCGTCATATGACGTCAGAGCTAATAATATAGTCCGCCATATTGGATTTTGACCAATGACGTCATCAAATTAGCATATTCTATGCATATGAAATGATTTAACTTATATTTAATTATGTAAGATGTTATTAATGTTGGAAAAGAAGTGTAATTTAATATAAAACTAAGAAAATTTTTATGTTTAAACCAAAATTACTTCTATTTTCAAATAAACTGCCTGCTAGAAACCCGTTGCCATGGCAACACAAAAAAACATCAACTTACTAGTATTAAACTAATATGAACTTTTTGCCAGAGACATTTTAGGAAAGGTCTCCAAATTTGATACTTCTAGCGCAAGCCGTGTAACCGCTATCTGAGATCAAAGTTGGGCCTCAAAAGCCCCTTTAGTCTGAAATGGGTTTAAAAATCGGGTATTTCTTCTTGCCTTCTTTTCTTCACCAAAAAATAGAAAAAGTTCAAAATTTATGATTTTTGTATGTAATGTGGACACAGAGGTTCCCACATCAGTTTGCAACACAATTGAGCTGGTAGCATGTTGATAATTTCTAAAAATTAGCAAAAAACTGTTCTGGGGTCCGCGCGGACCCCAGGTGTACAGATTAATCAGTCCGGGAAGGTGTACTGTTGAGGGTTAATGTGAAAAGAAATCCTACTTGCTGCATTTGGCATATTTGCTCATTCCTAATGCCAGAGTCGTAACCATACATGGAAAGAGCAATATGATACAGGAACAAAAAATATATAGAGATATTGGTCAGCAATATTTGCAGTAAAAACTACTTTCATGCAAGTATCCAGGTGTCAAATAAATGTCGAAAAAACGTCTTCCAGGTGTCAAAAAAATGTGTTGCAGGAGTGAAAAAAATGTCGAAAAAAATGTCTTCCAGGTGTCAAAAAAATGTGTTCAAGAACTGAAAAAAATGTCGAAAAAAAGTCTTCCAGATGTAGAAAAACTGTCTTCCAGGTGTTAAAAAAATGTGTTCTAGGAGTGAAAAAAATGTCGAAAAAATGTCTTCCACGTGTAGAAAAAATGTCTTCCAGGTGTCAAAAAATGTGTTTTAGGAGTGAAAAAAATGTCAAAAAATGTCTTCCAGGTGTCTAAAAAATGTGTTCCAGGTGTCCAAAAATGTGTTCCAGGTGTCATAATAAGTCTTCCAGGTGTAAAAAAAATGTGTTCCAGGAGTGAAAAAATGTCGGATATAGGTCTTACAGGTGTCAAAAAAAATGTCTTCTAGGAGTGAAAAAAAATGTCGAAAAAACGTCTTCCAGGTGTAAAAAAAATATGTTCCAGGAGAGGAAAAAATGTCGAAAAAAATGTCTTCCAAGTGTCAAAAAAAATGTGTTCCAGGAGTGAAAAAATGTCGAAAAACGTCTTCCAGATTTCAAAAAACGTTTTCCAGGTGCAGGAGTAAAAATAATGTCGGAAATACGTCTTCCAGGTGTCAAAAATGTTACTATCACCACTGGGTGCCAGCGACCATGGAATGGTACTCATTCAACCCAAATCACGCCCAAGTGCAACTAGGGTAAGGAAAAAACTTGTGAGACCTATGCCTGATTCCAAGATCAGAGCGTTTGGCCATTGGCTAGTAACCCATGACTGGTTCGAAGTCCTGTCTGTAAGTGACACACAGCAAAAAACCAACGCGTTCTACCAAACAATGAACCAAAAAATCGATCAACACTTCCCTGTGAAGACAGTCAAAACTCATGAAAGTGACAAACCCTGGATAACCTCCAAAATAAAACACCTTATACACCTGAGACAACAAGCGTTTAAATCGGGTAAAAACGAAAGATGGAAAAAATTAAGAAATAAGGTACAGCATGAAATTAAGAAAGCCAGGAAAACCTTCTATTCGAGCAAAGTCAAAACTCTTCGGACTGAGGACCCTTCAAAGTGGTACCACATGATTAAGACAATGGCCAATACTGGGAACAAAGGACTAACTCTCAACATTGAGGGAACGCCCCCTTACGATTTCAAAGCCACTGCTGATGCCATAAATAAGTCTCTATCCACTGTGACATGTTCACTAGACCCGCTCAGTCCGGCCAACTTACCAGCTTTCCTACCAGCAAAACCTGTTGAAGAGTTTCTACCATGGCAGGTGTACCATAAACTACGTCATATCCAAGTCAGAAGCGCTGGCGGGCCAGATGGGTTACCAAACAAAATCATCAAGGAGTTCGCCTACGAGATTGCCACACCGCTAACGTCAATATTGAATGCATCACTGTCGGAAGGGTACGTGCCCGCGCAGTGGCGCCAGGCAAACGTCGTTCCTCTACCAAAAACCCGCCCGCCATCCATCGATGAACTTCGACCTATTTCACTCACACCTACACTAGCTAAGGTCGCCGAAGGACTTATATCACAACGACTGTACTCTGACATTAAGCATGATATTGATCCACAACAGTTTGGTTGCCTCCCGGGTCACTCGACTACACATTGCCTAGTTGACATTATCAATCAACTTGCTAGAACATCCGACCAACGTGGTACCATCACTAGTCTAGTAACAACAGACTTCGCTAAGGCCTTTGATAGGGTGCAGCACCTCCACGTAGTAACAAGTCTCCTGAACCTTGGCCTCCGACCTTCAATCGTACGTTGGGTTTGCTCCTTTCTTACTGACAGGGAACAAAGGGTGATTTACAAATGTACTTTTTCTGACGGGATAACAACCACGTGCGGCCTTCCCCAGGGAACCATTTTAGGTCCCCTGTTATTCCTAGCACACATCAACACTGCAAGCCAAGATGCATCTGCAAAACACTGGAAATTTGTTGATGACTTAAATCTTGCTGAAAGCCGAAACATACAAACCCCGTCCACCATCCAAGCTGATCTTAACGACCTACACAACTGGGCAGTGTCACATAGCATGAAATTACACCCCAAGAAATGCAGCGTACTTCATGTATTCTTTACTAGAACTCCCCCTCCACTACCACCTCTGTCCATCGCAGGAGTACCACTGACCGAGGTCCACGTCGTGAAACTGCTCGGAATGTATGTCCAGGCTGACCTTGGCTGGATCACGAAGGTCAACAACACAGTAAAGAAAGGCAGCCAACGACTGTTTATGCTTCGTAAACTGACACAGTTCAACCTCTCTCGCTCCGAGCTCCTCACCTGTTACAAGACTTTCGTCCGTCCTACTGTCGAATACGCAGCACCGGCTTGGCATGCGGGTCTAACTGCACAACAACGCGGAAGGATTGAAACTATTCAAAAACGGGCCTGCCGGACAATTCTTGGCTCCGATTATACCAGCTACACTGAGGCCTGCCGGACACTTGTCTTACCAACCCTAGACAGCCGCCGCCGTGACTTGTGTTTTAAGTTTGCCCGACAACTTGTAACATCTGTAAAATTCAGAAACTGGCTCCCACCTCTCCGTGGCGAGGTTAGCGGCAGACATACGAGAACATCTCAACTCATAGACACAATCACAACTAGGACTGACAGATACAAAAAAAGCCCAATCCCTTACATGGTATCCCTCCTAAACAGCACAAATATGTAATAGCACCACAAGTTCCACTGACCACTACTTTATTGTGACACAGGAATTGATTTACGACGATGATTTATTTATTTATTTATTACGACTAATATGTTAAAATTTAAGTGATACATAGTTTGTGCGATTGTAAGATTGTAAATACCAGTACCAAAGTGATATATTAATATGTAGATTCCGATATGATTTCAATTTGTATTTCCCTACTATTAATAACTTATATTGTAAACTTGATCAGAATTCAGCCCTGCATGTCAAGGCTGCGAGATACGTTGTAAATATGTTGATACAAGCAAATAAACCAATTATAAAATGTCTTCCAGGTGTCAAAAAATGTCTTCCAGGTGTCAAAAAAATTGTTCCAGGAGTGAAAAAAATGTCCAAAAAATGTCTTCCAGGTGTCAAAAGAATGTGTTCCAGGAGTAAAAAAAATGTCGAAAAAATGTCTTCGAGGTGTCAAAAAAATGTGTTCCAGGAGTGAAAAAAAAGTCGAAAAAATATCTCCCAGGTGTCAAAAAATGTGTTCCAGGTGTCAAAAAAATTGTTCCCGGTGTCAAAAAAATGTCGAAAAGATGTCTTACAGGTGTCCAAAAAATGTTGAAAGAAATGTCTTCCAGGTGTCAAAAATGTGTTCCAGGTCACTAAAACAACATCTAAGAATTTTGCTGTATTTGAGATGAACGTCGGTGAGGCCGCTTACCGTTTTGTCCGTCATATGTATGATGTATGTTCAGTGACCAGCCCGCCAAATCAGATGCCTGAATGCTGCGCGTGAGGGGGATCTCTCTCTCCGTCCAGTACGACACTGTTCTCCCTGCTCTTGACACGCGGCTGGTCTGATCAGCTGAGCTGAAGCGGTTGAAGCTCTGAGTGAATTCCGACGGAACTGCGTAGTAGACTAGTCCGTATTCATATCCCAATCTCACTGTGAAGAAAATAAGCCATGAGCTAAACAACCTGACATCTTAACACTTGAAATGTCAACTGAGGAACTGTTTGCTAAAGATTTTTGACATTGTTTTTCGTAAGGGGGGTAAGAAAGCTATGCACACACTTAACTTAACCGAGACGGGGGCTACTACGAACTAGTCCATATTGTCACCTTAAAACTGCTCGGCTTCGTGTTTGAATGTGTCGCTATACTGCAATATTAATACGTGCTGTCAGAGGGATAAATTCTGTTGTACGTGGTTGCCCTGTTCCCCACACTTGCAATGCAACCATATGACTAGTATATCTGAATTTAATTTTAACAAAAATTATTATGCTGGCTACCCTAAGAACGACACAATCAACAAATGAAAATTGAAATTCTGGCCGAGCATCAGCAACGCCTAAGGTTATAACTCTACCATGCAATCAAGACGTTCCAAGAAAAGTAATCTTTAGCGTCGGTTTTGCTAATGTGGCGTTTAGTATAGATCAGTTTAAAGGGTACCCGCGTAGAGTTGACTTGTTATCTTCAGAAACATAACCGCTTAGTTTTAACAACGCTTGGTAGAAAGGAAAGTATTGTAATAATCGATGATAGTGGTCTGTTTTATTTTGATTTCCCACCTTTCATGTTGACTCTGCCTTTCACCTCTCTACCATACGCATCAAGCCCGTCCCAGATGAAATCTTCGTAGAGATTGGGCTCTGGAGGGAGGGACTTCGTAGTTGTTTTGCCAGCAACCTTAATATAAATATATGAAATAATGTTAAATAATGCGACTTTTCTGGAATGCATGTAATGAAAGTTTAAAAAAATATTTACAGATAGTACATTGAACAGATGTGAGAGTTTTAGGAAAGTAAAGATACTCATAAAACAAATCAAATTTCTATTAAGGCCACACCAAGTAAATTTTATGGATGACGTCCTTTGGAGACCCTAAATCTAATGCGAGAGGGCGAGAAAAAAACAAGAAGGGCCCTAAAAAACAAGATGCCTAGATTAGAAATATACTAAGAGACGACAAATGTTAGGACACAAATTGAATGAGGTTACACAGTGTAACAAGCAAGAAGTCTTTTATTCATCATCAAAACAGCAATAAATCAGGTGGGAACAGCAGTTGTTGTCCTGTCCTGTTTTCGCGTTACGGGTTTCACGTCAATCTGACGATTTGCGGCACTGTCGTGACTCTTTGGTCATAGTTACAGGAAGCGGAATTTCTTGTTTTTTTTTCTAGGAACAGGCCAAAATCAATGCGCGCGCGGACGTCATCCATAAAATTTACTTGGTGTGGCCTTATAAACCGTTGCCAGGACCTCCCCATGCAGAACCTTATAGCAAACGATCTTCCACCATCAATCTCAGATTTGCTTGGAGAGTAATATATAAAAAGCAGGCTCACAGATGGTTCAAATTAAAGCGTGAAGTTTCCATATTGTCCCAGCGCAGTGGGAGGCGGCTGGAAAGAGTGGAAATCGGCCAAATAAGAGAGATAACCTGTCAGAGGAGTTAGTCCGCGGTGAGAAACAGTTTGCCGCCTACCAAAGCCTGGTAGAGGCTAACTGTGTCCATGGGAACAATGTCAGAGTACAGGGGATGAACTGCACGTTCTCAACAGGACACGTCAAGTCTGAAATGGTCATCGGATACACATAGGGGTCACCACATCTTTCAAATGCAAGGCAATTCAGCCAATAAAATGAAGTACCCGAAATTATCCTTTGGACATGATTTGAAAATAAGAGATCATAATCATCAGATTTCGAA